GTATATTTTATCAGAGAATGTTTTCATTTCATCGAATTTCTCGTTACACCATGTTCGTATTTACTCACAATTCAAAATGTCTATTGAAAATAATTGTGGTTGTTGGACTAAAAATTTACTCAATTGTTTGCAGTACCTTTTGTTTTCTATTCAACTTAAAGTGACTCCTCTTCCATGTTGTTGGCGGTAACATACAGTGAAACAGGTACTTACTCGATCCCAAATGCAAATTCTGGAGTATGAATACTCTCATCTTATGCAATGTATTTGTATAATTGTTTTCTTTAATCTCTTTTAGTTTGATTGCTATGATAAATATGTTGTGTGTTTTCACAAGTGCTTTATCATGCAATGACCTAAATTCTCTGTTCTCAAATTTTCTTTGCTTAAAGGGTTCCGCAAGTTGGAATTGAGGAGAGCTTGGAGGAGTGGATTTTCCAAGTGAAAGCCCCAAATTATTACAATGAAGTTTTTTTTTCTCCCTTTCTTCATGAGATATTTCGTGGTCAGGCACTCCCCCAGTATCTGAGGATTCAATCTCATGAAAAGAGCATCCATAGAGATCATTGTAACATTTTATTGCTTACATGTATACATACAAAATGCAACAAGCTTGTGCTTGACCTTTTTCTTTTGTTTTTCTTGTTCTTTTTCTTTTTAAAATTTGTTCGAGAATATGAGGTGATTGCGATCGAGGGGATGCCTTTTTTGGTATATTTGGCCGCACATAATTATTGAAGGAGAAAAAAAGACTCAACATAATGATTAACAAGATCATTATTATTTGGTTATGATCGGAGATGATTTTAAAGAGCTATACTTAAATATTGAACTTCGATGACTTCTAAATTTGTTCACAGTTTCCTCTAGCAGAGATCGCTCGCGCTGTACCGCAACTGAAGGGGAGAAAATATTAACTGCTTTCAAACATTTAGTTTGGATACCATGACGTTTTTTTTATTATGTTTTTGTAAAAAAATACTATGGTGTTATGTTTTTTTCTTTAAAGTGTTTTCAAAACATCATGTTGAGTGTTTTTATTCAAAATTAGTTTGACCGTTTATAACATTAGTATTAAACATATTATTAATATATTATATATTAATTATAATAAAATATATTATAAATAATAATGTTAATATTATTTTATTACTACTATATTATTAATAAATTTATATATTATAAATATTTTAATACTATATAATATATTATAGTTTCTAATATGTTAGAGTTTATTAATAATACTATAATAATTTATGATATAAATCAATATTATTATATTATAAATATATTATTTTTACATTATTATATAAGATATTTTAATTATTATATAGTTATATAATTTAATAAATATTACTAATATATTAGATTAATTATAATATAATAAGCATATTGATAATAGCTACATATTAATTATATTTAATAAATTATGTTAGATATTATATTAACATCTCCTCAAACTCAAAACCAAAACACCAAAGTTAAAACACCTAAAATGTATTTTGAAATAAATGTTGTGTTTTTAATTTGATGATGATTTAGCTCAAAAAACATCATGGCTTCCAAACGCATGGTATTTTGTTTTTGACAAAAACACCAATTGGAAACAATTAAAACACCATGATATCCAAACGAAATTATCCTCACGTTAGTAGATAACTGTTGTATTTTTTTTGTACAAGGTCCCATAATAAAAACCTTCATATTAGAATATAAAATAAAAAAAAAAGGAATCTTGTTATGCGCATAGAACATGATAAGTTTCTACACAGATCATGATGAGCATCATTCATGTGTTCTAAACTCCAGCCGTTATGTGATTAGCCTGCATCTATATATCACTACACATTCATCCAAAAATACATACATTCATCCAAAAATACATACATTCATCCACTGCAAATAAGAGATTTGAGCCTTAAGAATGCCTTCCTCTGTGTCACATAATGGTTGAAATGATATGAAAATGTGTATAAACAAACTATTAACTTGGAATTTTGCATTGAGGACTTGACAAGCCAACCACTTGAAAGTCCCAGGATTATTGAAAGAGCTTAATAAAGAAAAACCACGCTATTAAGGTTTTCGTTGCTGCAGTGGTTTTATGATGATGGGAGAATATTTTGACAACTGTTATTACCCATTCTCCCACCAAAAGTTGATATAAAAGTCAAATCTACGAATTCATCAAAATAACGGATTCAGGTAAAATCAAAGCCAACACAGGTAAAACAAAGCAAAGAATTAGATGAAGAAATAGAAAAGGCTCAATAAATATTGCAGGCTACCCATTTAACGAAAGAAAACATCAAATCTACTAACTCCCTGATTCTATAGGAGCTGATTGGTAAGCAGAATCCACCAAAAATCAATTAGGCCTCAAACAAGTACAAATTAAAACACTAGACTAACACTAGCAATTGATACTAAAAAAAACTTGGGTGTAGGCTATCATAAGAGGAGAGGAGAATCTTACCCCCATCAAACAAAGCAATTATCCTATTGGCATGCAGATGACTCAAAACACAAAGTAAAGAATCATAAAACATAAATTCTTCATCAACTCAGAAAGCAATCCATATAGAAATCAAATCACACATCAAAGCTCCGTACAGTATAAACTAAAACTAGATGTTTATAGTAAAATCTATTCGGTCACGCAGTCATAAACATAAGATACATCGAAGGGCAATGGCATCGGTCCACTTACCTAAGGAGACGAGTCAAATGGTCACAAGGGAAATCTGAAAACTACCCGCATAGCTTCACAAATTCTCTTCGGGGAGAAAGGTACAGATAGCATCGTTATAACTTAAAAAACTGAAAAAGCTACAATAGCTACAACAGATACTGATTTTCATGACCTTTTATGAGTAAAATGAGAAATTCAGAATTGACAAATTTTGTTGAATATTGATGCCAGTCTGCCACTCAGCAAATTATAAGAACATCGTGATAGAAACAAGGCGTTTGTTGGAAAAAATAACACTAGCTATTACAAGGTAAACACACTCTTAAATAAGCCGACCAAAAAAACTTGGGATGAAGGCTTTGCCGTTGTATATTCCACAAAAAACTGAAAAACAAATAATCACGAGCTGCGCTTTTGTATCAAAGCAAATAAATGAATGTTGTTTTTGGCCATGAAGTATAATTTAGACATGGCAGCAAAAAATTCCTATGGAAGCCAGACAAAAAGACTGAAATGTAATATTCAATAGATGAAAAGCTAGCTGTTTATAAACAAGTAGACATCAACTGACTCATGAAGCAATGGATGTCAGAGTATATTGCTAAATCAAAATGTAGAATTCAAGAAAATTTTCACGGAAAATAGGTCATCTGTTATAAGCTGTAGATGAACACATAGATATGGGCAGCGACACTACATGTTAAAAGGTATAAAAATACAAAGAGGAAGCATCATACATGACACATGGAAACTAATATATGCAACAACTCTCCAAGGAAATTTAAAATAAAAGAAATGTCCGTATCAAAAATGAACAGTAACTCTAGTAAAGACCTTGTTTTGAGTAATGTTTACAATTCATTGTGTCCATGTTCATATCATCATTCATGTCATATTCGTATTTGTGGTAATGTCTGCAACATAGGATTTCAGTAAAACAAATAATATTATATGAGAGTTGTTTCTCTGATGGAACAATTTTAAAGCAAAGAAAACATTTCGGGTCAATAAAGTTACAGCACAATGAGATGCATGCTACCTGATTCACATTTTTCTTCTTAAGTGATCTATTTATGAGAAAACTGTAAACCCTAGGATAAGAACAAGGGTGTCCAGGAGGGCTTATGTTTCATAAGTTTCAAAGCTATGTTAGCTTTTGGTGGCTTTTATGATAAAAATGTTATAGAATTCAATTGCATGGGTAGAAAAGTCATTCGCTTAGTCAAACCTAGCTGATTTAGCTGAGTTCATAAAATAGTTTTTCAAAACTCGGAGAATCCCAACTTTTTTAAATGGGGCTTAAAAGGTATGTTTCTTTGGTATTTTACGAAAGATGTAGATATGGAAAAGCTAGGTTGACCAAAAAAACAAAACAATAAAAGGCTATGTTCGCTTTTGGTGGCTTTTAAGATAAAAATGATATAGAACTGTATGGGTAGAAAAATCATTTACTCAATCAAACCTAGCTTATTTAGTTGAGCTTTTATAAGCTAGTTTTTCAGAACTTGGGAAATCCCAACTTTAAATGGGGCTTCAAAGGTAGCTTCTTTGGTATATCAAACAAGTAGATATGAAAAAGCGAGCTTGACCAAGAAAATACAACCTCCCCCCCACCCCAACACAACAAAAAAAAAACGCACGCCAGAAAAAAGGGAAAAAGGAACTCAGTCCATATTTTTAGAGGAAAAAGCAGACATTGAACTACGGAGAGAATCACATTATCAGAAATCTGCAACTTAATATGAACGAAAAAGATTCAATCCTACATTTGCTGGCAATAATTCTAGCAAACTAATAAGAAACAGAAGTCAATTAAGGTAGCTGCTTACGAGATGACGCAAAATGCAAAAAAGGACTGAAGAAACTGGGTGCAAACGGACTGCATGTGGTGGCAGCTCCATGGAACTGAAACCTCACTAGAGTGAAGAAACTTAATTATAATAAAAGGACAAATTTTCAAAACCAACCTATTTGGAAATTTAATCCCAGAAAACAACCCCTTTCAAATTTAATTGCAAAAACCGACCTGGTTTCAGCCTTGGCGCTGAAACCAGGTCAGTTTTTGTGAAAAAACTTCGGAAACTTCACGGGAGTTGAACTCCCGTGAAGTCTCCCGTGAAGTTTAGTAAAACTACTAAACTTCACGGGAGTTGAACTTGAACTCCCGTGAAGCTTCGCAGTTCAAAAAAAAAAATTGAACTACGAAACTTCACGGGAGATCAACTCCCGTGAAGTTTAATAGTTTTACTAAACTTCACGGGAGTTGAACTCCCGTGAAGTTTCGGATAAAAATTTTCAAAAACCGACCTGGTTTCAGCTCTGGGGCTGAAAACATGTCGGTTTTTGAAAATTTTTGCAAAAGCGGTCGTTTTTTGAAAATAAATAGTGAAAGGGGTTGGTTTTGAAAATTTGTCCTATAATAAAATTATGACAATGAAAACCTTCCAACAAAAAACTGCATCTAAACCAAGGGCTCAGATTGAACAATAACAAAAAGAAGAAACCATGAGACCTACAGTTATGGGATAAAACGTATAGATCATTATAGCTTTTCTTAGCAAGATGAACATCAAGAACATGCTAAAAGACTTTGGTGGCAGATATGCACAGATGATATACAGTTGGAGTTGACTGACGGTAGCATGAAATAATACATACAACAATCTAGGAACTTGGCCGTGGTTAATAGTCCAAGGGCAAAGATTTATGATCAGACAACAAACCAATTATGCTTATGATAAGCATGAGTTTGGAACCATAACCTCACGTGCTAGTCTGTAATAGTAATACATATTTTGGTTTACACAGTCGGGTTATTTGCTCCATGAATTAGAGAAAAGGGACTGCATTTGAAATCCCTTGATAAGGAGCACAATGCATCCTACACGCTAAAGAATAGGAAACAACTGTAGCAGAATATAAAGTCGAAGATTGCAGTAAGCAAATGGCAGCAATCTCAAAAAATCTTCATAACCATTATATAATTGTTATCAACAATCAAAATGAAAAGGGACCTGGTAAATTATGCCCATTTCAGTTGCTTGGATGGTGAATGATATGGTCATAAACCATAAACTATCAAGTACCAAGCTATTTATGCCAAAAATAAGATACAGGAAGTGTATAAGTCCAATTGTGACTTCAAATTTTTGCACAACAAAATGGAACTTTCAACATTCATGAAACAATACAAAGGACTTGTATATTGCAACTCAAAAGTACATCACGAAGCTTGCAGCTGACCAAAAATCATCAGATGGAAAAAGGGGTTCTAATATTAGTACATACACTAACAATCCACACTTGTAGTAACCCAAAACAAGCATTCAAAGAATTGAATCAAACCGCAAGTAATCTAGCATTAATTAGAATCAATTACACAAATAAGTTCCACTTGCATACCTATGAATATCCTCACTGAAGTGCGCAATTCCATCAGTTACAGGCCTCAAATGAACCCCAGATAACGTAAACGCTCCTTGCCCAGCAAATTTTACTGTCCCATAAACCTCAACTTCACCCTCCTCTGAGTCAACTTCCACTGGCATTCGTGCTCTCAACTTTCCAGCGGGACCCTTCAATGATATATCGGGGATATGCCACCTCAGCTCCCTTTCCCCTCGATTCAGAACAGCTTTTGGAGAAACCTTTAGCAGTGTAGGATCAACCGGGAGCTTAAGAATGAACGTAACATTGCTCAATGGTGACGGCAATTCCGGGTTTGATGCATACTGAATCATAACTGAAAGTAAAGTCCCAACATGCCTCTTAACAAGCCGAACCCTCAAAGGCAATGGAGTGAGCTTAGGCTGCAAACTGAACTTAATAACAGGGAGAGGCTCTTCCTTAGATGGAGTTCTAACATGAAATATCCCGTTTCCTACACTACTAACACAAGAACTCATCAATGCAGCCCTCTTGATCCTCGAAGTACCCTCAACCTTGAAAGAAAACTCGGTCTCCTTTCCATTTGCTTGTTTCGGAGGCAGAGTCCTCAAAAAGATTGTACCTTTGAATGCAACACGAGCAAGCAAGGACTCTCTGAACTCCGCACTGATCTCCTCTGTTATGAACATTTCAGGTCCAGTCATCTCCTTCTTCTTCTCCACCAAGAGATTCTCCAGAGGAGTCTTTCCGTCGCCCTTATCAGCAGCAGCAGGGGCAGTGCCGCCGGCTGTCAAGAACTCCAATCCTCCCAATCCCTGAGGCTTCGACGTCTTCTTCTTTGTCGCGATGAACTCAGACGCATCGAGGCCGCCACCAAAAGCATTATCAAACCCTTCAAAAGCCTCAGACAGCGAAGCCTCCTCGTTCCCAAACTCAATTCCGCCATACTCTCCTTCGAAACCCTCGACCCCAACAAACGTCGGCTTCGTCGCCTCAGCCGGCGGCATCCGCCATACTCTCCTTCGAAACCCTCGACCCCAACAAACGTCGGCTTCGTCGCCTCAGCCGGCGGCAGGGTCGTCACATCGAGCCCAGCTAGGGCAAGGGCGGGATCCGACTCCTTCGTCTTCTTGAATCCCCCAACCAAGGCCTCCTCAGGCTTATTAAGCTTCTCGCTCGCCGCAAAAGGATCCTTCTCCTCTGCAGTCACCGCTGCCTCCTCTGTCGAAGGCGCCTCCTC